GTAATGAACCATACCAACATGTGGTTTCAAGGTCGTAAAAGGATATGATGCAACTTTCAGATTGGCTTTATCACTCAATTCACATTCTCTCTATGCAGCTTAGAAACTGTGTATAAACTTTGAAATAATTTGGATACTGAATGTACCCAGGAAGATGAGAGTTGAAAGGTTCGCAACTCTTCCAAGCCAGAGAGTCTCAAATCTGTCTCTTCTGTCCTTAGAGAATTCTATACGGCTTCAACCTCGGGTTTAGTTGATGAATGACTAACTGAAAATATGAAAAATTTCACTCATCTATCTTCCGATAATATAGTGAGATTTTCTAAAATGAATGATGGCAATGAAAAGTATAATTTTCTTATTTTTCAAGGGAATCCTCTCCCTACTTCGAAGTCTCTCTCCTCCCTGAGCGAGTTGAAGGGTGTTTACTGTCTCATACTGAACCGTTATGAGTAATTGTTCGAAACAAGTTGGAAACTTCAACGCTTGAACTAGCGCTTCAAGATAATGAGACTGTCAAATTGATTCCGATCCGCCTAAACAGGAAGTTAGCTTGACTGCAATGTCTCATACAACACTTGTTGAACTCTCAAAAAAGCCACAAGTTGTCTCTCAAGTCGACCCCATGAGCTATTCCCTTGGGAACAAACTGACTTAGCAGTCGAGTTGATAAATGAGTCAAGTTCAAAAGTTGGTTAGAGAGCTCATATATCAGCTAATCGATGTCAATTCCCTGACTGAACATAATTTTCTTTTAACTCCTTAAGACTATATTACCAGCCAAATACTTATTCATAAGTGCAGGCCAGTCAGTGTATCTGATTAGCTAGCCAGACACAAACCCTATCCGTTGGCAGATTTTCTAAAATAATTCAGCTGCAGTTGCAAACAAAAACATCCACGAACGGTTTTTTTTCATTCAAAAACCCTTGAAAATCTTATGCTGTTAAAAATAAACGATGAAATATTAAAATTTCACGGCATTCAAGATCTGTCATTGAAGTGAAACTGTCGTGCCGTGTGCCACGTGAATTTATGAGTCCCATATCGAAATGCGTTGCCAAATAAGGCGTCTTTCATGTAACCGCTAACTTGGGTGAATTCGTTAATATAAATCAAATTTCATATTTAGTTTTGTCTTTCGGAATCTTACATGTCCTCAATGAAATGTTTCAATGCCTTTCAACACACACATCAGACACACGAAACATCAAGAGTCATTTTGATAGATAAATTCGGTGTACAGAATGCATCTCTCCTGAATGTTCATCCTCCCTGTCTAGCTTCATTGATCGTTTCTAACCATATGGGAAGCCTTAACTTATCGGCTCATGTTAATTTCGTTATTTTCTTTCAGCATTGCCTCTTATGGACGCATGAGACCTATTCTTCGCACTCTTCACTCATTCCTCTCATTCCTCTCTCTCTACCCATTACAACATAGACAATTCTTTCATTGAAATAAACTCGAGATAGACGAGAATATATTCTTTTACGTCTTCCCTTTCTTTTTGAAAAATCTTTCAAAATTCAATTATTTTCACTTCCATTCGCCTTCTCTTAAGCGAGCACTTTGCAGAGAGTTGACCTTTCTCTGTTCAATCAGTCTGAAAAACAAAAAAACTTTTGTGTTCTATCTCATATTATAGTTCAATCCCGATGACATTTCGTATTTCAAATAGACACATACTAACACTAACATACAAACGTTTCTTTTCTTTTTTTTTTCTTACAAATTGATCATACCATTAGCTATTTTAAGACTTTGAAGAGAAAAATCTCAATTGAGTCTCGAAGGATTTAAGTTGAAAATCTTTTAAAGCAAACTCTTCTTCATGACTATTGTGTGTTGGCTGATTAGATGACATACAAATGAAATCAAAGTTTTGAGTCGTAGTAGTAATGTCGCAAAGAGCTGTCTTAAATGTCAGAAAATGTCTGAAAAGAAGAACAAGTTGCACAAATTACAAAACAAATTGCACAGCTTGATGACAATATCAACTAGACATTGTCACAACACGTGATGAAAGTTGCGGATTAAGGATGATGACCATTGGCAGTAAGCGAAGAGTGGTCTGCTTGGGAAAAAGGTCAAGATGCCTCATAATCAGGTAGATATACAAAAAAACAATTTGATGGCAGATGCTTAAGTGTTCGGGAAAAAAATATATAGAAGACGATGACGGCAACGAATATTTGAATTGAGATAGAGAGAGAAAGAGAAGAAGAAGAATAGACTGTTCAAGAATACAAGCAACCGCTCTATACGTGTCATCATCATCAAAAATGATATGCTAATGATTTATATTATCGATTGATTTCTTAAATGACGTATGAGTTGAGCGCCAAAACGGAAATTAAAAAATGGCTGATTGATGATATCTCCCATCATTGTATTTCATTAGCAGAGTTATATGAATTTACACATCTCCATCAGCGATTCGATAAAAATCTTCACTTTTGTTTTGTTTTTTTTCGTGACGAGTGATGAACATTGGATTTGACCATAAGTTCGGCTGCAATTCTTGGTCGACCATGATAAATTGATGCTATTCGTCTGATAAATGATGGAACTCCAGAGTAATTTTGTGTCCTATCGTCTTCTTGCTGTTTTCTTCCCTCCAGCTTTATCTTTTTTTCTTCATTCTTCTGCTCCTTCTTCACTTCTCTAAATGAGCAATATTAAGCACAAGAACGACACTTTACTTACAAAGTGTCTTAGCTGAAGATTAACGTCGTATATATTCTATTTAAAGATACTGTTACTCTTTGATGAATGTCTTCTATCTCTTGTAATTTGAATATATGTATAGATCTTGATGCTAACATACAAGAGTTGCGGTAACTTCTGTAATCGTTCATATCCGGTTTCATCGAACCTTCCTTCCTCTTCATCTTCTTTTCATTTTTTTTACTTTCTAACCTTTTTTTATCCATATTTCTATCTTTTTTCTATATCACTCTACATATCTTGTATACTATTTATCTTGTTCTCTCTCTCTGTCCATTCTTTCTGACTCCACCCACTGTCCTATGAGAAGGCACACAGGACCGCCGGGCCCGATCGGCGATCGGTCTAGAACTGCTGGCCTGCTGCTGCTTGCTTACTCGCCGGCTGCTGCCTCAGAGATGCTAGCCAGTATTTCTCTTTCTATCTCTTTTCATAAAATAATTGTTTTATAGTTTAGAAGTGTGCCATTAAGTGTCTTTATTATAAAAATAGATTATCTTTGATTTAATACTTCTGTTGCTGCGTTATGTGTTACCTTATAACTTTGCATTCATACATTCCTATATTAGCTCATTGAATTTCTTTTTTGATGTTCAGGTATTTGCCATCTCAAACGGACGACCTATCACGTTACAATATCATCATCATTACGTATACATCCATTTATCGTCATTAGCATCTGAAGGCATCATTCGGCCTTCGAAAGACTATGAAGACCTTTATCCTCATCAATACTTTTATATATTTTGTATATGGATTAGAAGCTGTCAAAGGTCGTACCAAAGGAGCTCGATGTGAGCTTATTACTTCATCCATATGTCGTGATCTACCATACAATACAACGAGGTACGTTCATTTTTGTTAAATTTGTGAGTCGACTCAGTAGCTTGTTTGGACATTTCCTTCGATCTATTCTCTTCCCGTGACTGATAACATATCATTTTGTCTTTTCATATACCAATTTCTGAAGCAAAGACAAATTTAAATTTCGATTATGAAAACTTCTGAAGAAGTTCCTTCTACGTGTCAAATGCTTCTTATCAATGCTAAAGTTGAAAAATCGAACTGATTGCCAATAAACGAAAAATTCTTCTTCCTCGAATACTTTATTATTTTTTGTTGTTTTCAAATGTGAGATGATTGCCTTTGTATGATTGATTCCCATAGTCATTGCATTGCTCACTGTTTTCATGATGACTGTTCCTGTAACTTTGAGGCAAAAAACGGATATTCAAACGTCCTTTTTTCTTTCTTGTCAATGTTTTTGTGTGGGATTCGATAACATTTGCTTATCGCATCATCCTCATCCATTCTGCCTCATGTTCATTCGCAAAGCAAAACATATGATAGATACATGTGATGTGCTTAAAGACATCATTACCTTTCCCTGCTTCTCCTGCTAATTATATATTCAATTTTTTTGCTGTTTTGCTCTCTCTCTCTACTGAATGCAGCTTTTAGCCTTTTGTCTCTCATCATTTAAGCTGATAAGCGATAAGAGTCTTATTGAACTGATAAGCTCAAACGCAAAAGTCGACTGATGAAGATTTTTTGTTCTGCTCATTTCTCTCAACTATCATACAATGCAGTATTGAGAATATATGTTAAACGTTTACGTATGAAAGTGGACTGTTTGACGTGAGCTAGGAAGTACTTATTTACATATAGTTATAGTAACTATATGTACATAAACCTGTTGATAATCAGTTTATCGAATTATTGATAAATATTCATTACATTCTCACATCTGAAATTAAGTTGCTCAGTGGCATATATATGAGAAAAAGCTATTATAATCTTCAAATTAGTTAATTGTATCACCTTGCGATGGGCATAACTGTTTCTCGCGCAAACGTCTGTTCGATTTGCCTGTACGCCCTTACGGCACTTTCATTTTCATTTTCGTAGACGGACAATGCGGTTGTCCCCTAGTAGACAGCTTGTGAACGATTTGAGCTTCGTCTGAACTGACTGAAATAGTATTAACGTCTTGTACAACGGATTTCCTTGCCCAGGTGTCCCTTCATCATTTCTGAACGTTTTGACCTAATGAAAATTATTTTTTTTTGCATTCATACGTTTCCATGGACCTGTCTCTCACTTCTTATTATATGAATCGAAGTGAATTGAATTAAATGTCATTCAGGAGCTTTTGTGCTCATTTGAAAGAAGATTCATGTGAGAATGATTTGAAAAAGAAGTGTTCTGGTCATCACTAAACGTTTACTTGGGCAAACCACACATAGCAGATCGTCTGGGGTCCTGAGCCAGATGATATATGACAGGACGACGGCTGTCTGATGTGATCTTCCTAAACGCATACACACTCACACTCGTACGAAAAGTAAGAAAGAAAAAAATTGCAAAGGTCGTATTAGCGTTTCATTTATGTTGGCAAATTTATAAATTAATGGTCATCTTGATTGTATCGCATGCTTAGAATTATTTCGGAAAGATTTTGTTATTTCTTAAGATGAGCAGAAGCGGCAATATCGTCACTTCATCTGAATTATGACCCCTATGGTCATTCATAGATGAAGGCTTGCCGTCTGTTTATCTGCCTCATAGAACGTTGTTTTCCCTTGAGAGAGACAAGATATGTGCCATGAATATGAAAGAGCATTGCAAGTGCATCTAATCCAAAGCAAATGTAATATTTTTTTAATTGTCTTCTGAAGAAGGAACTTCTCTCTTTGATAAGGAGGAAGAAAAACAGAAGGTTACTTCTGAACGAGATGGATGAATGCACCTGGATGGTTTGTTGTATCAAAACGACTGTTCATTTCTCTTCTAACCTTCTCTCATCTGCTTCATCTCTCTCTTCTGTTATCTGTCGTTTTCTGTGTCCACGATTCCACCTCACTAATTAATCATTCAAATACGAAGATGTTGAATGAAACAAATGACATCGTCTTACTTGCTTCATGCTTCTCATCCTCTAACGGCCACTTCTCCATTCGTAGAATGTGTACTTTCAGCATAGAGTGTGTTTGAAAAGCAACTGTTTGTGCGTTAATGGGATCCATTCATCTTTTTTTGGCAAAGAACATGACACATGCTGTGGGATGAAGCTTAGAATTCTATTTTTTGCGCTCTAGAACACCCACAACTACAGTAGTAGTTAAGCTTTATTTGGTCAATGAGAATGGGGAAAGGCAGCTGATAATCAAATATTCCAAGCCATGCAACCTGATGATTGACGGTGCTGGAGGAAAGGGGGACAGACTGTCGATCCATCGTTGTCGTGTGTACGTCATCTTCATCATCCTTGTTGTCATTTCGTCAACGCCATCTGAAATGGAATCTGGAAATTATTTATAATTTCCTTTTCAAAATCAATGAAATAGACAACATTTGCACTTTGTAAGACAATCGGCTGGAGAATGGCTAGTGTCTGTATGTGTATCAGCTTAGGATGGAAATAAACAAATGAATCATTTTGTAACTTTTACAACTTGACCATAACCAATTATACAACTTGACCAAGCAGTTAATACGGTCCTATCATTATTTTTATGACAACAGGTCATTTTATCACTAATATGTAAAGTTTTGGATAGTTCATCTCTTCTGTTGTGCTTCATCTTCTTCTTCTTTACCTTATCCTCCTTCTGGCCAGTTCACAAATTGTTTTTACAATTTTCTATTCGATGACATTTAAACCAAATAGGAAAATGAATGCACATCATCCCAATGGCAACTTTTCCAATCTGTTTTGTCTTACATCTTCTGAACTCTCTTCACTTCATATGATGTTTCGCCTTCTGTCTTCTAACGTCTGTTATATTATAAATCAACTAAGTAGAAGAAACTGATTGAACTATACAATAAGTATTTGAGGGATAAGAAAGATAGAATGAGAGGGAAAAAACACACATTATACTCAGGGAATTTTCATTTTTTTCAATTTTTAATTTTTTAGTTTTCCAAATTTGGTCGGAGATGACTTGGCCAAACAGGCTGAAGCTGCTTTGAATACATTTCAACCACTGATTACGAGCCAATGTTCGGAGCAACTGAAATTCTTCCTCTGTTCTGTGTATTTCCCGATGTGTAATGAGAAGGTTTGTTCATTTCTTCAATCAGACATAATACACACACAAAAAAATATCTGGACGATGAGCTGAAGCTTTTCGTAATAAAGTCGTTAATGATGAACCCGTAACAAACTGTCTGTTTGGAATTTTCTAGTCGTTCATCTAGACAAAAGACGTTGTTGGTGGCTTTCTGTCTTCTTGACGTCATTTATCAGGCTTTGCCGGCAAATGCTTCGTCCTTCTTCAGAAGGCGACGTATGTCCTTCTTGCTTGCAAATGTCGAGAAATGAGAAATGAGATCGTATACGCAAAAGATGAATCGTTGTCATCGTTTTTGTCTTCTTGTATCATCATCATCATCTAATCCACTCAATCAGCTGTTATTCTGTAATATCTCATTGAGAACCTATTCTTTTGCTTTGCAGATTCCTCAGCCAATCGGACCATGTCGGCCATTGTGTGAATCTGTTCGAGAAAAATGCTTCCCTCTCTTAAAGGATTTCGGATTTCCATGGCCGGAACACATGAATTGCTCGAAATTCATTTTGGAGAATAATAATGATAATATGTGTATGAAGGGACCAAATGAAAACGGAGCCATTCCAACAGCTCCCAATAACGAAGAAGCTATCGATGACTATTCCTCTTCCTTACATCTATATGGTCAGTATTTTGCCAAAACACTTATTTTCATAAATTCATTCGTTTCAGGGCATAACACATGTCCTCCAGAGCACATTTATCTCAATCGCACAGGACAATGTGTTCCGATTTGCATTGCCGGTCAAGGAATCAAACAGGTAGACATGATCTATCAGGCTTTTCTCTATTTTCACTTCTTTTCAGCAAGATCGTGAGTCTGCATCAACAGCTTTGTTCGTCTTGTCTTTAATAAGTGTAGTGATGACATCAGTCTGTCTGCTCACATTCCTTATGAGGTAGTTCTTTCTATAATACAACTATTCTCATTATTCACCATTTCAGACGTCACTGTCTGTCAGCACTGCCTGAAACATCGCTGCTGTGGGCTTCATTATCATTTGCCTTATCCGCAATTGTTTCTCTGTTCTCTTTGCTCTATCGCGAACAGGTAAATTTTAATAGTTGAACACACTTTTCATTTCTCAATCATTAACACGTGTGAGCGGTTGCTTTCATTTCTCGTGACGAGGTGTACTGTTGTTGTTTTCAGATCAGTTGTATTGGCTACTCCAACCATTTACTTTTCGTCGTTCAATCAATTCCACATGCCCCATGTTCTACAGTAGCAGCTTTGCTCTATTACTTTGGTACAGCAGGGCGTTTGTGGTGGCTCATCCTCTGTTACACATGGAATCAACAGACTGCACGTGCAACAAGAATAGTACTGTTAACTCTGAGCAATATGAAAATTTACTTCTATTCTTGTAGGAAAAATATCGTGCTGAAGTTCAAATGGTTGCTTGGGGAGTCCCACTCTTAGCAGTAATGCTTGGTCTTGTGGCTCAATCTATATCTGCTGATCCTCTAAGTGGGATTTGTACTATCGGAAGCGGAAGCAGGGTATGTTTCTTACCAGGACGGATAGATATGTTATTCTTGTTGAATTTAGGCATTAGATCTGATTTTCAATTTAACACGTGAAATCATTCTACTCGTCGCTTGTTCCATTCCTCTCTTCCTAGGATGTTTCAGTGGAATGAATGTTGAGAGAGAAAATAGTTCCTTCTCTTCAGGCTTTGTAGGATTCTTATATCCATTCGCTGCACTATTCTTCATGTGAGTCATTTATATCATAATTCTTAATTATTTCATTTCATTTGCAGGTTGAGCTTTGCTAATGATGCTGTACAGCCAGCTATGCAGTGGAGTAAAAGCTGGAACTTAGTGTCAGCAATCAAAATTCTGATGGATCCCATTCTGGGAGTAGTAGCTGCATTCTGCTGTTTGATGCACATAATCATCAATTTGTTCCGAAGTGTACGATCTCCTTTATCGGATAAAAATGGATATCAATCTGGCATACCACGAATACCACAGCCTTCAATCCCAGCTAGTGTTAGGTCGCATAATACGTATGCTTCAGCTTCACGTGTTCCAATGATTTGAAAAGATAATACTTATGATTATCTTTTCAAATTGTTTGTTTTTAGATTGTTTTAACAAAAAAAAAGAAGAAGAAGAAATAAGCTTAAAGCTTATCAAATCATGTATAAACAGATACTTAACCTCTTAATAATGATCTCAATGATTGACCATGTAAATTTCTATCAATTTTAATAATTTTTATACTTTTTTTGTACATTTCTTTTCATTGAAAATGTCTTTTGAAGAAGCTCTCAAGCAAGGTATTGATGATGTCATTTATTATATTTATATGTTATAAAAAAGAAAAGAAAAAAGAATGTTAAATCGAAAATTTTAATAAAATTGCTTACAAATCAATCACTTGTATCACATACACACTGTAATTTGCATATCATTAGGCTTCTCCCAAATTGAGTGGGAATCAACATTTGAAGATTCGAATCAACTTGATACGACTTGAAGCCGAGTCGATCCGAAGCAGAAAGTCGACAAACTGTTCAGTTGATTTGTACTGGTTCCTTCTAACTCGACTTGCAGCCTCGATTCCAAAATATTCATTCAACTCACTCACCTGGCTCCGTGTGTAAGAGCATCAGTTAATAAATTTTTGGAGAAAGGTTTTAGGTTGGAATTTCAAAAAATTGGAAAAGTTGTTTTTTTATGTTTACAAGAGAGGGGGTGACGAACATTATTGGCCACAACTGTATACGCACTCCCAAACATCCATTTATACTTCTCCGCCTTGTTGTGATCTAATGGCAGACAGTAATTCATATTTTGAGTCAGAAGAAAGGTATCATGATTCGATATATTCTATTCTTTTATGGAATTCCCTTCATTATTTTTCGATTTTATGTAACTTTCATCATTTGTAAGCACTGGACACAGTTCCAATCGTCCTTCTATCGACTCTATCTCATACATAGTGCTTGTGTAAGTTTCATCCCATATATGGTGATCAGACGTTTTGCAGAGTGGTTTGTTCTATCTAATCCAGTTATTCATTTATCGTTTACCTCATATGATATGTGGTAAATGTATTTTGAGCTCTTTCTTCTCCCACAACTCCATACATGGATTGGAAATATTTCATTTCTTCTTCATTCATTACTATATCATTGAGAGTAACTTCTTTGTTTTATATGGTCTGAATCGCTTGACAGCTGTACTCTATCCTACAAAAATTGAAAAAGTTGATTTGAATAGCTGTAGCTGTGAGTGTAAACAACATATGTTCAGATATGGAGCTACTTGCTTGTGCCGTCGGTATTTCTCTCCATATTCGGTACAGTAGCCTTGGATTTCGATATTCTTATTTATAAATCTTTTTATATCTACGATTATGAGTTTGATTACTATGATCTAACATCGACGATTGTAAGAAGCCAGTTCAAATGCATTCAATCTGTTTCTTTACAGTTCTCAGGGACAGATTCGTTTACCAACTTTGCTCTTTACGGATGCTATTCTACCCTCTTATCCTTCATACTTGTCATTTCAATAATTAAAGCCATTTTCATCAGCAAAGTGAATAAGAAGCTCCTTGAATGCTCAAACTTAAAGAATTTGGTTCAGATTAAAGTTCGATACATAAATCGGAGTGAGCTTCGATTGTGCTTGATGCCCATGATATTCTTGATATTTCAAACAATTTCTATGATTCCCGGTGTAAGTTTGCCTTCTTTGGTAACATGAAAGGATGTAGTTAACAAGAGGAAGAACATCATATAATAGCAACCGTTCATCATCATGTGCAAAATGATTTTGTTTGTTGTGTTTGCCACGTAAGATTTATGCTAATGAGGAGTCTCATGTACATTTCAATTTGAAATACAGAAGAAGATAGAAGCTGATGAATATGTAAAGTAGAATGTTTTTGTTATTCCAGGTTGTATCTACCTTTCTACCAGCTGAACTTCTCAGAAAGAAGAGAACAAGAATACTGTTGATGGAAATGACTCTGGTATTCTATGGAGACGTTCTTGTCTTCGTGGCTCCAATAAGTCTGTTATTCGCTAGCAAACGTTTGATCAAACTGATGAAGCCTTCCAAACCCCATGCTGTCAAATGAACTGCTCTTGCCTTTCATAAAATTGAACGAAAACTGTTTTTTTTTCTTCATCGTTATTGCATTCGTGGAGTGAACAAAAAAAGTTTCATAGCAAACATAGTGAAGTAAGCGGCAGGTGAGAATGAAGAGAAGCTTAAGCTTTTCAAATTTGAAGAATCTTGTAAAATAGAAAAATCAAAAGTAAGCAGCTTCAGGACGAGCTTGAATGTAAGGACGCACGGTAGGTAAAGCTTCAAAACGATCACAGTAACTTTTGAGATTTGGAAAATGAGCGAGAAAGTAACTATCATAACAACATTGAAAGCGAGTAACCATCTCAATCAAAGCGATATCGGCCCAACATATCTGAAAAGTGTGCTTAGTTGATCGAGGTAAACATGAACTCTGCTACTCACGGTATTATTGAAGAGATATGTAGACGTGGCAAGTTTCGTTTCATAAATGTTCAATTGAGGAACTAATGACTGTTGTTTGAAAAGATCCCAACTAGCTTTCTATGCATTGATATGAGATACTAGAAAACTGTTACAAAACATACTCGTTGCTCATAGTTCTTAGTTAACGTTGCCCTTATAATTGGGTTCAACTGACTGTTGAGCTGCTCCAATTCATTGATTATTTCATTTATTTTCTCCTGATCAGCCGAAGACTTTCCATAAAGTCCTGAAAGAGAATATGTTCACTCATGACTCATCACATACACATTAAAGGGTGGTTAAGGTAACATCGTCCCTACACTTCTGACTATATCTGAAGATGAGAATATGATGTTATTGTGTTTTGAGTGAATTTGATCAAGATGCAACCGATTTGTGCATATTCAGAAATGTAAATGAGGCTTCTTATATGCAAAATCACCATAATGCAGAGCGATATATCGAGAGATATCGATAACTCCAATTAGAGTTTTCGTTTTATTGATTTTCATGACAGGTAGCTTGGTATCATCATTGAATCCTTCTAAAACGATAGAGAACATATCATAGGTTGAATAAACGGAATGAAGTGTACTAACGTAGTTTTCGTCGGCCTTTCCATTGTTGAATAGTAAGACGAGTATCATTAAACTGTTGACCGCAGAATACGAGCATCATACGAATAGATTCGGCTCTACCTCGTCCAGGTAATGAAATGAGCTCCAAATCATCTTTCGGCATCTCCCTAATACAGTATAATTAAAATACAAAATAATGATGAAAGTATTTTTGAAAATAAAAAAAAAACATGTTCGACAGCTTGTATGACACGTGAAAATAAAGACAACTGGCCAGTGGAAAGCTGAAGATGAGAAATCGGGAGGAATAAATGAACAGTAACGAAGGAACTTGTTGAAAAGAATGAAAAATATTAAGTAATCAGCAGAGAGTATCCAGAGAAAGTCAACACTTTTTAAACAAATATTTATTTCTTCAGAGGAATTGTTGAAGTCCTTTGCTTATGATCAGATTCAGTTGAGGAAGGAATGAAAGATGATGAAAGTTGTGTGAATGCGATGAGCAGCTTCTTTCATTATGAAAAATGATTGAAATGAATGCTGTTACGTATTTCAATCGTTGTAATCGTATATCATAACCATTTTTAGAAATGAAATAATATATATATAAATATATATATATTCGAACACCCATAATCAATAGCTGATGGTCATTGTTAGAGCTTAAGCTTCAATCGACTGTCAAAGAAAGTGTTGGTCAAGTATCCAAATGCTTACACAAATCTTGAACGCTATACACTTCAATTCATCGACAGCAGCCACCTCTATCTAAAGACTATTCTTATTGACAATCAAACTTTCCAGTAGTACAGGAACGGAGAACGTCATTCGCCCCTATCCTCGGATATGAATGACAAACAACAAAAAAAAACATAGATGAGGGATTCATCTGTTCATTAAATTCTCATATAGACATGCTCTTCCTTTTCCGTCGTCTCATTTTTCTTATTTTCCATATATGGCTTCATTCAAGCCTAATCCTGTTACCAGCAGAGTACAACCATCTGGCGCAGCGATGACCCTTTACTTGTTTTATGTCTGATCCTCTATTCAATTATATTAGCCATCTATATCTATCGAATATTCTTCTGCTATGGCTCTCTTCATTCTAAATAAAATTCTTCTGTGGTGTTTAGAGAGAAAAGAAAATTGAGAGAAAAAGGTCAAAATCCACAAATGGAAGAGTCTCGCCCTGTAAACCATCGTGGCAGCTTCTATAATCCATCGTGTTGACGGACGAAAACCGTCTGCTGCCATGCTCAGCATCAGATAAAACCGCATTCTCAAGCCAAAACCTATTACCCAAAGGATATTTCGTCTACTATGCCTTGTTTTCCCATGTCTAAACTGATTTTCGTATGGTCCTCTCATTTCATTTCATGTGTTTATTTCTTTATCCACTGCCCATGACAGCCGGCCTCAACATATTAGGCTAGAAGGATGTTGGTCAAAAATAGAAAGAGAGAATGAGAGAGAAAGAGAGTAAACGAGGGAGGATGGAGAGCAATCTCTTAATTTTCGGAAAGACAACAGAAGGACGAAATTGATTTGTTGTTGGTTCAGAACCCAACAGTTTGCTTCTTCCAATCCACCTTTTCCATTTTACGTTTTATAGTTGACGATAATGAAAAATGATTTATTCATTACTATATATACCAGTTTAATTAACGTTCAATTTCGGCACCCTAAATCAAACGAACAGTTTTGGCGCGCAGGTGCGTTCCTCTGCTTCATTTCGTATTAGAGCTCACTAGCTGAACGGTTGCATATATTATTTCATTTCATATCCATTTTCGTACATTTTTAATTATTTTATTTTTTATTTTTTCTGTACACTTCGACCCATGTTTTGATCCTTTTTTGGCTACTTTTTCTTCTCTCATAACTGCTTATATTGTTATTGTTCCTATTTCCTAGCGCATATTAAGCAGGATATAGACTACATGCGACCATACCCGTTAATTATGTGACAACAGTCACGGCTGGTTGTTGTTTGACCTCATCATCATTTGGAGCATCATTCTGGCTTACATTCACGTCTTTCGTTCTTTTGCTATATAGGCTTATCTTAGCTCTTTTTTTCTTCTCTCGAGAACTTACTAGTTCATTTGCGCTTGCATATATGAATGAAGTTCATTTCATTTATTGATGGGCGTTATGAATTTATCGTTTTTTACTTCCTTAAAAGTATTATTTGCAAAGCGGAACTTTGTAATAAAAACAAAAAGTTTCTTTTGAATTCTCAGCTTTTCATTGCTTTGAATTACTCTCTTTCTCTCATATTCTTCCTTTTCTCATCGTCTTCCTTCCTAATTAGGCAATGACAATGCGAGATGATTACGGATTCGCACTCATAATTATTTACGGTAACTAACTCCTAATTGTTAAAATCTCTTTTTATGTCATGTGAGTGTACTGCGTCAGCTTCATACTACTTAATGCTCTGATGGTTTTGTCTATAACCTATCCATTGAAAGGGAGAGAGGGGTGGGTGGCTTCTCGTATGTTGTCGTTTTGCTGTTTAGCTCTAAGCGCTTGAGAAGCTTAACGTCTTTAACAAAAATAGCATAATGACTGGAGTTGAAAAATGAAAGAGTTTTAGCGTAGATAAGATTTATGAAAAACTAACTCTCATCTTTCTTCCTCGACGACAGCAGCCATTTATCAACTCACTTCGGAACTAACATCGAATCTGCGAAGGAGCAAAGCCGAGTCTAAATAAGTCGGTTATGTTTCAAGCAGATACCCACTCTATGTCCATTATGTGTCCTAGCCGGAAAACGAAAGTAATATGTCAAGTTGTCTGAAAGCAAAGTTGGATATGGAATAGAATTTTCTAAAGAAAAGCTACGTCAAACTATTTGAATGGAGACCTGCTGTTCAATATTCTGATTTCAACTAACTGACACGCTTGAAGTGAGACAGCTCATATTGAAATCATCTATTGTGTGGTCGATTCTTTCATCTTTGTTTCTACAACCTTTGGAGAGCCAGCTGGTGTCAATCGGAGCTTTTTCTCATAATCTCCCTTTGCGCCTCCTTTAGTCGTTGTTTTTTTCTCGAATTCTATTGACCAGATTTCTTTTTCGTTTGCGGCAATTTGTTGGTAGTAGTTGTGGGAAGCTCTCAGTTTTGGCAATTAGTCCTAAACTCCGTTAGATAAAATATCTTGTTGTTCATTAAAAGCTTCTCAACGAGTTTATTTCATTTGGCTTGTAAAAGAAGTCAGTGAGTGGTAAGTTGAAGTTTCTTGAAGAAATTATGTTGAATCAGTCAAGGTTTAATGCCCAAATAGAGTTTACAGCTTCATATGCACCCCCAAGTGTCTTCTTCAAGTTTGTATTCAAATTTTGCTTTGATCGACGATGTTCACCTTATTTGTTTATCATTCCGACGATCGCTTAGTAGTCTCCCTTGGTTTCAGTCGTCAAGCAGTCTTCTCACGACATCTCGTAACAGCTTGTCACTAGTGTTACTATTCAGTCGCTCACTTATTCAATTCATTTAAATTTTCTTGTGTCAACTTTTCGAAAGTTTCATTTTGCCGCCCGCACTTCGTTTTCACACGCATGCTGTGTTCGTTTGGTATCTGATGATCGTTCATATTCCGTTCCATTCAGTCATAGAAAGCGGTACTGCATTGAAGAGTCGGGGTTAATTATTTGTAGTTTTAATAAGATCTTAATCTGCAACACTTAATTAGATCAATAGACGGCATCTTATGATTGTTAGGAAAAGCTGCAAAATAATATTTCCTTTTCTAGTAATTGAGATGAAATTTCACTCATATTACTTATTATTTACTCTCAACCCTCTCTTTGCCTCTCCTTCTATCTCTCTTATCCTATCCATTGTTGGAATGTTTGATCCATAACTTCACTCACTATAAGCTCATAACAAACTTTCAAATGAGAACGTTGCATCGTATTAAAGACTTTTTCAAATTGTGTTTCTCTACATTCTTCCTAATTAGGGGACTTGAATTTCGAGTCTTTGACATGTTTGAAATTGACTCGCTTTCCATTTGCTCTCCTCATTTTTTTTTTATTTGAAAAATTCATAAATTTTCAATGTATGCTCGTAATTATTTGCTTGACTTTCTTTTATGGCCACAACTTCTTTTCGTTTTTATAATCACACACTTTATTGGATATTTTGATCTTTAACCGCCTTAGGCTATCTCGTTGATGACAACAACACGAAAATATATTTATATGGAAGTTATGATAAGTATTTCGAGGAAATGAACAAAGCTGAAAAAGACATCGCAAAAGGTTCCAGCCCATACGAATTGCATCTGATCCTGCATGAAGTTCGTGCTTGAGCTAGAATTCGGTTATTGCAATATGCTGACAACATTCACTTTGTATCGTCAAAATTTCTTCAAAATTCGCTCATTCTTTGAAAGTCTTTGTTGAAATGTTGAAGATGAGAGATGTGGTTGTCTTGTCTTGCAACTTTGCGTGTTCTTGTCCTCATAATATAGTCACTAAATCGGAAACCGTACACAATCGCTCATTGTTCCATCATGGAAATTTCATTGACGCTCTCAAGAAGCTCATAAGTTCATTCTTCCTTTTCCGTAAATTTAACTTGTATGCTTCGCGTTCCTTCATAAGCTCGCATACTCACTTGACCTCTAAGACGTTGTTGAGCATTGAAACTCATTTATTGATTCATGAAAGCACTTTTGAAGAACAGTTCAATAATTTTTATGGCACATAGCATGAACTTTCTTGTTCTATTGGCCATTATTCAGTACTTGACTATCATATAATGGAGTATGCAATCGTCGGCTTCCATAGTAAATAATCCAAAGCCGTGCATCGATGGCAAGCAGCCTGAAGCTTAATTTTTGTGCAATTGTTTTGACTGTCACCGATGTCCACGCAATTGTGATTCATTCGTTGTTAATATTGGAAGCAGCGCAGCTATTTCTTGAACCTTACTTAGTCTGATGCCACTGCCAATTATTCGATCAACATTTTAACCTTTTATGATTCTCCGGAAGTAATTCAATGATGCTTGTCTTTTCCTAATGAGAGTGAGAGTGAGAGAATGTACAAACTCATGAGAGAATAAGTCGAAAAGATGGGAAGCTCCTAAAAGCTTCGATAGAATGAGCTAAGAGTTAAACATGAACAAATATATGTCTCAAAACGA